CTACTACTATTCCTGCTCCTGCTTTTGGGGGTGGCTTTGCCACAAAACTCTACCCCGCAAAAGGCGAAAGTTTGGCGAAAGTTCAGCTCAAGATTGGCGAAAGTTCACCCTGCCACATCTGACCCCCAGCCCATCATGAGTAAGTTTGAGTGACCGGCTACTACAGTGATTCTTGCAATTTTGATTCTTGCTGACACCCAGGAGAAACAAAAGAGACGTACAGGGTGTCAACAGTTGAGTAGAAGACACATGCTGACAAACAGTGAAGTTTCTATTTTGTGTTTGCCAGTAAAGAAGAAGCCATTGACGTGAACAAAACACAACATACATGGCACACATAAATACAACGTACTTCGGCGAAAAATAAAACGCAGGAAGGCGAAAGTTTGGCGAAAGTAATTTTTTTTTGGCGAAAATGACGGATCCCGGATAAAGGAATTTAGATCAACTCCCATATATTCTTTGGGACCTCAAAGGGTATGACGATTCCACATCGGCATCAATCCACTTGCCCCTTCCCAGCTCCAGGTCATGGCGGACCAAAGTTTGCTGATCGAGACGCTTCAGGTTCCGAGGGTGGTGACGTGCTAAAAAGATGGTCGAACAGAACACCCTGAGCCAGCGAAGAAGGTGTGTGGAAACGCAAATGTGGTGTACAGTGTACTGTATATATGTAAAAATGCATATATAAATATATACATACGTGTTATAGTTTTAGTTGTATATTCCTATAGGAAAGAATATATTCCTGAAACTCGCACCAAAGGAACGATCGTTTTGGCTGCACCAAAAAGGTCGAGTTGTTTGATTTTACCAGTAGCACACGCTTGGTGGACTTTCTACCAAGCTTGCTCAAGATGACAGTTTGCTGAGCAAGTCCTTTCTTTTCAGCACGCCAGTTTTGCAGAACATAGCATTTCTGGGCAGTCAAAACTCGATAAAATACAATCATATATATATACACATGTTTTTCCTGCGATCGTTTTTTTCGGGGCGAATGTCCATTTGGAGGTTCCACCGATCACAGCCCGCGTTCAGGCAGTCCATCAACACACTGAAGGTGTGCTGGACTTGCTGATGAGTCTTGGCCAAAGTGCTGCCATTTTGTTGGGTGAAGTGATACCGCAGATGAGGAGGGTCAGAGTCAGAGTCAGAGCTTCCAGAATCAAGGGAAGGGACGTTTTCGGACAATAAGGGGGGGCAATTTGTCAACCTTAACCCGGCTGCCTTTTGAAGAGGCGGATGTAAAGATGTGATTGTGAAGTGACAAAATGTATTTTTGTTTTTGAGTCACTGGTCCTAGAGAAGATGGAAAAACCACTGGGCTCTACAGGTGACTGGTCATCAGATGTGGTGGTTGTATGACATGTTTTCCGTCGTTCTTTCTCGCATTTGCCTGCAGCCTTAAAGGAACGTAGGTAGCAACATGCGAAGAACATCGAACAACCATAATATGTTTCGGGCTTTGTAAAGCTGTGGCCAAAGCTAAGCCGTGTGTGTGTGTGTGTGTGTGTGTCCAGCCCTGTCTCAAAGGGTCTTTTCCACTTTCATAATTCTCAGCAGGGGGCTGGAGTGTGCTTCAGATGTCTCCAGCCAACGAAGACGCATCTGTTGCACAGTGATATAGTTCTGGGACGCCAGAACTACGTACCTGCTTTGAAACTCTTGCACAAGCTGTTCCAATCCGCCTTTTTTGATTCATGGTGGTTACATGTCTTCATCCCACAAACCTCCCCTTTGCCGCCGTCAGCTGCCGCGCGTTCGTGAACTGCAGATGTGCACAAACCATTTTTTGAAACATCTTCAAGTGCTCCGACCATTTCACCTTTCGGTTCCATCACCATTTTTCCTGGAAATTGAGTTAACTGAAAACCAATGTCGAAGTGTATGCTTTTCAACCCGGGCGGCTGTCGGGCAAGATGTCCACAAGAAACAGACATACCTGGAGTCGACCTGCTCGTACCTTACAGTCATACATGTATAGGGTCCCATTTTCTAGAGTACGAACTGGAGGGTTTATAACTTTGTGCTCAGGGCGGATGTTGTTAGAACGTAGGGGGGCCCAGTCCAAGACATTCCACGTTCGGACTGGAAACCCTTCACCCTAGACTTCCAAGACCATAGATGGTTGACCTGGTTTTTGTAGTATAAAATCATTAGGTGATTCGGTAAAGCCTATTAAATCAATGGTGTTTGGAAGCCTCGGGTTTCGGTTGGCCATTCTTCTCCGTTTCGATGAACTTCGACCGATCACAGCTGACCGTGCGACTGGCAGGAAGGCATGCAACAAGATGAGCTGGTGGCCCAGGGGGTCTCTTGCAGAGGGGAACACATTCAGCACCAGACCCTGAGAGGCACCAGACCCTGAAAGGTGAAAGCCTAACAGGATTTTGTTGGAAACTGAGAGTAGTGTCGTGGTTGGTTGATCCTCGACAGAGAGTCCTCACAAGCTTGCATGTCTTGTGTGTTGCTCGTGTTTGGACTTTACCTTGGCAATATCGCCAACCTAGACCTGAACCGTTTTTACATTCCGCCCACAGCGCCGCAGCCGGGGGCTCATGAGCACACCATGCTATTTGCGGGTTACGACTCACCCTGCTCAATCAGATATACATATATACATGATTATAAATGCTTATGCACATGCCAGCCAGAAGATGGATGTGTGCCCAGGAAAATCCAGCAGCAAAGATCATCATTTCCCTACTGTGCGGGTCAAGTCTGACCCAGGAAAACCTGGGCATGAACACATTGAAGTGTTTTTTCTATGACCAAACATATCCAAGCATGAGGTCCAGCTGAAGAAAATCTTTGCGGGCCCACTGCCAGAGGATGTGGTAAAACTATGGTCAAACTAGCAGACGATGTGACTCCGTCGGTCAAAACTGCTTGGGATTGACACGTCCATCCGGGTCCAAAGCCGCCATCAGCGCCATGCGGGCACCATGGATCCCGCATCTCCGGAGGCGGGGGGGGTGGGGGCTTTCAGGCAGAGCGCAGGTGCGCGGGGGGTTGGAGGATGCAGCGCTGGATCAGTGGATGCATCAGGAGTATAGGATGACCTTTGGAAGTGGATGAAGTTGGTAAATCCAAGAACTGTTTGAAAGATCTCAATTGGTCAAACATGGTCAAACTAGTTGAATTTTCAAGCGAGTTTTGGAGGTGGAGCACGGGGGAGGGTCAGAATTGATACGTTGATAGTTGAGGTGCAAACCATCGATTTGCTTTCGAAAGCCCCCGACCGCAAAGGACACACACATCACAAAGTGGTTCGACAGAGAAGGAACAGAAAGCCTCAGGATACACTTGCCGAGAAGGCTTGGGTGACACACACTCCGACTCCCCTTGTGGGTTGAGTGGCAATACCTGGACCCTCCGAAGCACTTTGGAACATGGGACATGACCCCTACAAAAATGTGTATACTTGCACCCCATGTACTTTGGACTGCAGGTGGAAGCAGAACCGATGGATGTAAAACATGTCTTCGGTCCACAATGCGTAGCATACCTGAGAACCATGTACGGCGTCTAGACATGACAAGGATATGAAATGCATGTCGCTGCACCAGTTCCCACTCCAAGTCCTTTGAAACTTGTTTGGACGACACCTAAACATGCTGCAGCAACCCAAATCTTGCCAGAGTCTGTATGACTGAAGAACCTAGCATAGGAAAAAACACAAACACAAGGCCCTTTGGTTCATGAGTTTTGCGTTAGTTGATTTATCGACGTTTCGGATGAGTCGATTCAGAAACGTGTCCCGGGGTGTTCTGGTACTCTCCCCGCTCCCTGTTTGAACATGATACACATAATCTCTCCAGACATGACAGACGTACCACACCAAGAATTCCTGATGTTATTTAATGCGCAGAATCAACACGTACAATACATGATATTGTATATCATAACTCAGATACACATCCAAATATGGAAAATCATATGTTGTTTCATGATATTTGCTTGTAAGGGTGCACGAATTCCTCACGCTTGACATAAACCCCGCAACCTACTTCCCCCGGACATTCGGCAGACTTACAACTTATCTCAATCAATTCTCAGTCCTAGCTGGGTTCTAGGTATATGTGTGAATGTTCAGTCTTTGTGGCTAAAGGAGTTCATCATCGTTCATCCATTGAATTTGCCAGACACGAACACGTTTGGAACTGCGGTGCCGACCCGTGACCCGACCCCCCAACACCAACGAATCCAACCCCGTCCAGTCCGAGACCGGTCCGTGTTTGAGTTCCCAGCGTCCAGAGTCCCAGGACTCAGCCTTGGAGTCGGACTCGGACGGAGCACCAGCGCGCCGGAATATTTATTCGCGCCGTTCGGTCGTGACCGGGCGAGGCGAGTTGAGAAGGGGAGAAGAGACCGACCGAGCAGTGCACATGTCGTGTAACAGGCGGAGCTGGACTGGGCCTTTGCTGCCTTTGATGCTGAGCTGCGGCCTGGCATCGCAAAGCAGAAACAACAAACACGTCTAGGGGCGGTGCAACGGTGGAGAGGGCTCGTGAAGAATCCAAGTGACCAAGCTGAGCGGCGCTTGGGCGTGAACGGAAGAGTTGTGAGGCGGCCCAAGTTCGGCCGTTGAAATGACTTTGGGTTTGTTACAGTCTGTTCTTGGGTGACTTGCAGCGGGGAGTTGGCATACTCGACGCCACAAGTGTACAAAGTTAATCATGCTGAGCTGTGCTGGGGATTGCTTGACCCTAACTGTTTGGATGTGAAAACCTGCTATCCAAATACCAGTAGACCGACCTCTTGCTACCGAGCTGCTGCTAATAAGGTGCTACTGGTCATGTGATTTGGGTTATGTCAGTGTCTCGTTGGGCAGAGGTGCCGAATGTTGCGACCTTCGGGCGCCCTGCAGGCGAAAGAAAACAACGAAAAGCTCCTGTTTGCAGAATTTACTTTACCGGATTGGGTGAATTCCCTGGCATGCAGAATAGTTGCGATAGTTTTCTGCGGGTTAAGCAGATCTGGATATTGAATCTGTGGAGCATGTGCGGATTCCTCCAGCATGAGATACCCTCTGACGAAGACATCACATGGAAGTGGAGTTCACCCCCTGTTTGTAAATGAAAGGGTCCTTTTGCAAGGGACAAATGCTATCCACTTCCATGTTAGTGAATCGGAGTCTATGGCATATATATAGTTATTTGGAATAGTTGCCTGCATGTGATTTCTCCAAGGTCCAACACGTCGCTCGTTTCACCATCTCACTCGTCGTATCTCACTCGTACGGGCAAGATCCATCGGGGTTTCCCGCTTCCAAGTGGCGCCACCATACAAGATTGCTGACCATACAAGAGGAGACCTGATCGGACCCATCACCTGATCGGACCCATCACCTGATCGGACCCATCACCTGA